CACCCCAGGTGCCCTACCCCAAGTTAAACCCAAGTTTCTCCGCTGGCTTGAGTACGATTTAATTCCTCATATAATCCCGAATATATCCACACAATTTAATAGACTGAAGCGCCAACTGTACATTGAATGAATCACGGCCAGTGTATACGTCACTTGTCTATCCACCAATCACAGTTTGTCGGTGACAAGTCGGTGACGACAAGTCGGTGACCACAAGTGAGTGGTCTGTGACTGACAGGTTGTGTGTGTCAATCATAAATTCCATGTTTGGATGTGTCACCGACGTTCATACAATATCCACCAATAAGAAGCGGCCATTTGAATGTCGGTGACAAGTTTTTTTTTATGGTGACTTTATAGCCTCAAGCGACATTAACATTGCTTTCGTATCATTAATATGAAGCGAGTCGGTGATGTGTGATTTACAGCGCACAGGAGCCATGCAATCACAATCCAGGTCCGAGTTTTTAGTCACTGCTCAGGAAATCGATGGCACTATTTAAGACATGTGGGGCCGTCCACCCTTCACATCAACCGCGGGTCATAACACCTTTGGACGACGACCAGAGAGAGAACTGACTGCAAGAACAAGATTTTGCTCGGTGAGTGTTTGAAACAATCATTTTTCCTCTGAAGAAATTTGTTGTTTTTGCACAATGTGTTTGAATCAATGCGGGATTCAGATTTTGTTGAATGTTGCTGATTCAATGATTCTCCAAACAGCGAGCGCGGTGGTAGGCTTGATATTTTCCCGTCTTTGTGTGCTTGTGAAAATGTGGTAGCTTGAGGACTGGAAAAAACCCCAAGATTTTTATGAACAAATTGTTCTTTTTCATTTCACTATGACTCTGATACACGTCTGCTAACAGCAAAACCAGCGCGCTAATTCCGATCCAGAAGTTGTGCCTTTTCCCAACGACCACTTTGGAGTTGATAAAGTATTGCGATAATTTACAAATGTGTTTGAAATTAACTTGTTCAGACGGACTTTGTTTGTGCATAACATTCACTAAGCCCGTCTGAAAGAGTTAATTTCAAACACTTTTGTAAATTATCGAGCTATTTTATTTCAGCTCTTATAATGTAAACAGTTGGTGCGGATGCAGACCACGGTTTTGCGAGTTCAAATTTCAAGGCAATAAAAATGAGGAATTCCTGTCTGGCAATATTTCCGCTACTACTTCCATTGTGCACTCTCAAAAACAAATTGTCCAAATACTTACTGGTTTCTTTACTTCTTGAACAAAAATCATTTGGATTCTTGTCGATATGGATAATACACTACGAAGTCACATTTATGGGCTTTTTTATTTAGGTTCGACTGTTAGGTTGGACTGTTTCTGACCGCAGTTTTTCGCAAGTATAAAACATCAAGTTCCCTGCTGTGATTCAGAACAGTAAAGATGTATTGATCATTCAAAATAATATTTCAGAGGAACTACAAATCGGTGTTTCACATTTTCGGTTTCCAAAAAAAAGTCTCTCAAAACCTGGACTCTTTATAACCTGGCCAATATTTTTGGCATGATCAAGCACACTCTTATTTTTTGCCTCCTTTTTTTCCTATTGACTTTATCGTTTAAATCCAAACATGAAATCCTAGTGCAATGTACTCATATTATTTCCGGATATCACTCAAACTCAATCAGAATGAAATATGCGGAAGTTGGTCACGGAAGAACGTATACAGGTATCCGGACATCTCAAAATGCCGGTCTTATATGTGTTATTATTTGTGGATATTCTCAGTGCCTTTGAACTCTGTTGTTCAACTGGCATTTTGCTATAGTTCACAGTGCGCCATTCCGGTTTCATCAAGTTACTTTTAAGCATTGCAGGATAAAAGTGTCACTGGTCAGAATAGACTAGAGGGCGCAAATACAAACGCACTGGATCATGATGATGCACACAGTTTTATACAAGTTCAATAGCTGGATGCATTTTGTAGAATTCATGGATAGATTTGATTTTTGGATAACGCATTTGAGATAAATAGTCAACCCAAATTACATTTTCACTGTACAGACATTTTTTTGGCCGTATTGTACTTGTGGAATTCAGCTATGCCTCCCCACCAGACTCCAAGTTATCTCCTAGAGGATTTTTAATGACTCATATTTTTGTTGGTATTTTTTTCAGCCAGCAATCCGCTCAAGTGTTGAAGAGTGCTTCCGCGAGAGAATTCAAGAACTGTGCTTAGGTGAGTGTCTGTTAAAATTTTCTTCATTCAAGCATCAGAATAGAGCAGTGATTTGGTAGGAGACTGTTCCTTTTTTTCTATGCATTTAATATTTTTGATCCAAATTAGAAACCAGAAAACGTCATTCAATTACCTCTACGAAAAAAAATAATCCTGGCCATGATGGTTAGGCTTCTCAATTATCCCTTCTAAAAAATATCCTCCAAGCCATAGTCTCCTCAATTATTCCTTCTAAAAATATCCTCCTAGCCATGATGGTTAGCCTCCTCAATGATCACATCTAAAAAATATCTTCCAAGCCGTGATGCTTTGTCTGTTCAATAATCTCGTCTAAAAAAAATTCCTCCAAGCCATGATGATTACTATCCTAAAATATTATCCATTCTAAAAAAAATAGCTTCCAAGCCGTGATGGTTTGTGCGTTCAATAATTTCTTCTAAAAAAAATTCTCCCATTCATAATAGTTAGTTTCCTCAATTATCCCTTCTTAACAAATATCCTCCAAGCCATGATGGTTAGTCTCCTTAATTATCCCTTCTAAAACAATATCCTCCAAGCCACAATGGTTTTTATTTCAATAATCCCTTCCAAAAAATTCCTCCTAGCCATGATGTTTAGTCTCCTCAATTTTCCCTTCTAAAATATCCTCCTAGCCGTGGTGATTAGTCTCCTCAATTATCCCTTCTAAAATATATCATCCAAGCCATGATGGTTTTCATTTCAATAATCTCTATCAAAAAAAATCCTCCTTGCAGTGATGATTAGTCGCCACAATAATTATCCCTTTAGGAAAGATCCTCCTATCCATGATGGTTAGTCTCCTTAATAATTATCACATCTAAAACATATCCTCCTTGCCAGGATGATAAGTCTCCTCAATTATCCCTTCTAAAAAATATCCTCCTAACCATGATGGTTAGTCTCCTCAATTATCCCTTCTCAATATATCCTCCAAGCCATGATGGTTAGTCTCCTCAATTATCCCTTCTAAAAAAAATATCCTCCAAGCCATGATGGTTTTCATTTCAATAATCCCTTCTAAAAAGATACCTGCTTGTCATGAGTGTGAGTCTCCGCAATTATCCCTTCTAGAAAATATCCTCCAAGCCATGACACGGCAGTTCCACATGCATAGCGCGTACACACAAAAAGGTTCTGGAATGCGTTAGTGCTGTATTTGTGAACTCCAATGATGCCGGTGACGTCACACAACATGGCGCCGTCCACATACAAAAAAAAACATCGATGTTTCGTCCCAAATAATGTCACAATTAGACACTTTAGAAATATGTTTTATTATCATAAATGAGAGGCAATGACGGGATATGATGTTTTCTTTAGGAATAAATGAGAAAGGGGTATAATTTATATGCTAAGGTGTGTTTTAGGGGAATTTTCGCCAACATTTTTGCAATGCGGGATGAATTTATTCGCGTATCGAAGACTTTTAAAAGCCTTCAATAAAAGCGAAACGCAGTTTTTCAGAAGAAATATTTATGTTGATACCATTATTCAGTTATGAAAATAGCCAAATCATACTTTTTCTTGGTCGGGTCGACATTTTAAAATAAAATATAGACGTTGAAAGTCAGACTACAATTCCAAAGCTTCGCTGAGAATTCGGGCTGCTGCATCGCTGGTTTACGATCTAGTATCCCACTAATACATGCAAACTGGCGCGCGGGTACCAACTGGCCTAGCGCCGCGTGTGTTGTGTACACAAAAGCGCCGTACAACATGTACACATGTACATGTACATTGTACATGTGTACGTACGTAAAACCATCGCATTCGGGACGATCGCAAGACATTGAAAAAAAAATGCATAAAATGCAAAACAGATTACATAGAAATAAAGAACCATCTATATCTGTCTTTAGAAGAAAACACTCACTGTGGACTAAATAAACACACAATCCGAAATTCACAAATGTTTAGTGTACAGTGAGTGAGTGTTGTACAGCATATTAAAGCAGCACAATCCAAAACCAAGCATGAATTTGCCATCAGTATAGCTAGACACTCTTTCCTCTTAATTTTCTGGGGGAAGCTGCTGACAATTAATTGGATCTATAGCTTAAACAAAACAATAACAAATAGGTTTTTGTTTGGCAATAAACGCATTCTTTATTTCACAACCAATCCATATCATTTTTAAAAAAAAGTTTCATTTACAGAAGTGAAACTTCACAACAGCCATATTTTACAAGTAAATAAAGTGCACATGTAATGCAGGCATGAACTCAACTAGTGAAATCAGGTTTGGCAAGTTATAAAACTATGAAAAGTCTGAAAAATTAAGTAGGGTAGTTGCAGTTGATTCAAGAAAGTGATTCAAAAATTCAACTTTATGAAAGGGCAAATGGATTTAAGCATACCCTCACACCTGAAGACAGTAAAGGTTTTTTTATATTTATTTATTATTAATATTTTGTTGGAGAAAGGAGCTTGCAGTTCAACTGCACTATGTCATAAGTGGTGGTGATGGCAATTTCAGGTTTCAAATTTTCGCTTCATTAAAATTTCACATACGTACGTGTACACGTACCTGGATGACCTGCCCCCCCCCCCCAGATTTACAAAGCACTACATCGCTTCACAATTTGATGCAAACACAGTCCACTGTGAAGTTCTTTTCCAGTGTGAATGCATCATACATCGTCAATTTTGTTAAATATTTTAGAAAAGTTTTCACAAGTACAATCGACGACTCTTTGTTGACTTTTCGACGACTACTGTTCTTTGAATAAATACATAACATGAAAATACATGAACATCTACATGTAGTCACCTTTTGTACTTTGAATACACTACGACGTGTCGCACTTACAGCATATTTTGTAAAATGAATCACAGGATGCGTCATCCTAGGGATACAACGATGCATCGTAGGTTACAATAAGTTTCATGAAATCAGGTACAGATTGTCATCGTCACTACGAACGACACTCTCGCACCCGTGTGTGCGCTGTACGCGCGCGTGTTTACAGAACCGGGATATTTTGGGTTTTACGAACTGATATCCGCCACAGTGCGGCACTTTTAGAGCGCACCCCGTACATTTTTGTTTTCACGAACTGACACCCAAGCATGATGCGGCAATATCCGTGTACTTGTGCGATTATACATGTACAAATTTTGCATTAAAAAGCGATTTAATTGGTAAAATTAAGATCAGTGTCAGTTCGTGAAACCGAAAATGCATGGGTGCGCTCTAAAAGTGTTGCACTGTGGGGGATGTCAGTTTGTGAAACCCAAAATATCCCGAATCTGTAAATACTCAAGTGTGCGCAAGTGTCAGTTTGTGGTGACATTGACAAGATATATACCATCTGAAATGGCAATAAGGACAAAACAGAAACTGTCCTGATCAAAGATTACCTCCAGTTATCTCCTAAATTCCCAAACTATCTCAATTCTCTCAAACCCCCCCCCCGCCCCCGGCAGTAAGATATTCATTATGAAATGTTTACGTCAACTATGTTATTCAAGCATATGGGACAGGGAGGCAGCGAACAGACTACACCTACCACTCCCAATTCAGATCACACTAAAAGTATTTGTACATGTACTCCACACCATGGACTATTTAGAAAGGTTCAGAGTGGGGGTTGGGCTGTTTGAATGAACATGGCCATGTCATGGCATGGTCAGGAACTGATACGGAGTTCAATCGCAATGGGTGGGTAGTACAGATCAGATGCGGAGGAATCCAAAGCTCGTCCATTATACCCGGCCATGCATGTCGTTGCCATCTTCAATCCAGAAATAGGAGGAAACTCTTCAAAACCTGAAAGCACAACAAGAATATAACAAATGGAACAAAGTCAAAGGGATACTTTGAGATGCATGGTGGCAGCAAATACACCAGTCCTTTTCTGGTGTTGACGTCAATTTGAAAATGTGCACATTAGGTTAAATGTGACGTAAAAAAAATGAAAAGGACAGGTAAAAGGAAGCGTCTCAAAAGTCTCTGTTGAAAATTATTGCCAGGTTATTTTCAAGATTGTTGTCTGTGCCTTTGCTCGGATTTTTCTTGCATTGAATATGAGTGTTAAAAACTATAGAAGATAAGAAAGTTTCATATTTTATCTTTTTCTATAGGCACAGACATACATGTACAATGTACATGTAAACATGTACTTGTACATGATGTATGTACATGCATGTACATACATGCCATGATCAATTTCTAAGTAAAATAATATCAAATTTTCTGAAGGTATCCTTCGTCAGGGCAGGGTACGTCATCTGCGTGTCATGGTGGAATGCCATGATTCTCAAGATGCTCAAGATGCAAAATAATATCAAGATGCTCACCGATGAAAATTGTCAAATTTTCTGAAGGTATCCTTCGTCAGGGCAGGGTACGTCATCTGTGTGTCATGGTGGAATGCCGTACACTCCGCATAAGAAGAACTGTAGGCAAACCTCCTCCACAGCGTCCGAGAGACAACCAATAGGTCTAGATGGCAAATTAAAGTACACATTCAAGTTCATGTACAGTAACGTGACGTTTGTGTTTGTACACAACAAGAACAAGAGCATGCATTACATTGGCCCCATAACTGCGGCCTATTTAGTACTGGACTGCTTCGTAAACATAGGCCACACATCCACATGTACAAAAACGTGTCGAAATTGCCAAATTTTGATTTTCGCATTTTAGGCTTAGTTTGTAGGGTTTTTTTGCTTTAGAAGCATACTCACCCTATTTATAGGCTAGTCAGAAAGTGCTGCCTTTTTCAGATGTCTAATTTTTGTGAAATTTCATGTTGAAATTTTGATACGCAAACGTGTAAAAATGAATCTGGAAATTTGAAAAAGGCAGCACTTTCTGATTAGCCTATAAAGAGGGCGAGTATGCTTCTAAAGCAAAAAAACCCTACAAAGTAAGCCTAAATGCGAAAATCAAAATTTGGCAATTTCGACACGTTTTTGTACATGTGGATGTGTGGCCTATGTTTACGGAGGCAGTCCAGTATTAGGCCACATTTATGGGGCTAGCATGATGCATGCCATTGCCAGCAAATCCTGACCACGCTGACTAAAATTTACATGAAATTTAAAAATCATAATGAAATTGGAGGATTCAGGACTGTTACTGTTAGGATTAAGGAATGCATTGTGATTATTTGTTACGAATACGATTTTTCTGGGTAATTGCAACTAGCAAGGCACACTGGGCAGAAATATTTCTTAGATGAAAGTCTTCTACATACACGAGTCGTTGCGTCGTCCAAAAGTGCGTGCTGTGGGATAGCTCAAGGCGCCTACGCTACGACTGTTTCATGTACAACATTACTGTAAATAACTTCCTGTCATGGCGCGGCGTACGTACACAAAATCCTTGTGTCGCAGGCTAAAAACAAGGAGAAACTACAAAAACTACATCTTCTGAGCAGAGTAAATACATAATCTATATAGGCTTACCTTTGAGATTTCCGTCTGAATCTCCGAAATCATGCCAAAACATGGCGACGAAGGTCCCTACTCGTCACGCCATGACACTGCATGTACACTTCGTACGTTGCGACTTGACGAATTCCTGTTTTATTCACCCTCAATATTGGCTAAAATCTCACGAAAGCATGTCGACCCAAACCTTTCGTCCATATCAACGTGAACCTAGATAACTGAATACAGGTCAACTCGTACGCGAACCAACTCGTACGCGACCAACTCGTACGCGGGTCAATTCGTACGCGAACCGACTTCATTGATGGTTTGTAAAGCCTTATTTGGTAATCTGTTGCATATTCATTTTAATAAACCAATCAATTTTTATATCTTTTGCGGGGTATTTAAATCCACCAACGAAACAAAGGGATCGCTAGCGCTGTGCGTAAGGTTTATTTACATCGCGCTAGGTTGTCACGTGGTATTACCACTAACTCAATCTCGCCAACAGAGGGCGTACTTTTGTATGCGTGAAACTGCCGGTGTAGCGTGAATATCCGACTCCATGAAATGTGGGCTCATTGGTAGTACTGCGCACGCGTGAGTACGACACTATGCTATTTTTAGGATCGTTTCGTGAGAGTGACCTGTCACGTGCGAGGGATCAACCAATAATAGGGAAATAGGGGTCCGATTTTCATAGGAGTCGGATTTTCATGTGACACCGTGATGATGGTTAGTCACTTCAATTATCTCTTCTAAAAATATCCTCCAAGCCATGATGGTTTTCATTTCAATAATCCCTTCTTAAAATATCCTCCTAGCCGTGATGATAAGTCACCTCAATTATCCCGTTAAAAAAAACCCTCCTAGCCGTGGTGATTAGCCTCCTCAATCATCCCTTTTAACCCTAAAGGGGCCGGGTTATTTTGACCATCTCTCAGCCGGGGGGGGGGGGGCCGGATTCGGCCCCCCCCCCCTAAGATCTCGGCCATCGAGTGACGAACAATTTTGAAACTCAATACATGCATAGAGCAACTCTTCCTTGATATACCCAAGAAATTTCATGACTATAGGTCAAAGGGGTTTGGAATTATGGCTAATTAATTATTCATATGTACGAATGGCAATTCTGCTCTGTGTACACGACGTATATGCAAAAATTCAGTTTTCACGGCGCGTAGCGCCGGAAATTTTTTCGCTACGCGGCAACCCGTGGTCCGATTTTTATGTTTTTGGTATCAAAAGATGCGCAAAGCTCGAGGCTAAAAAGTCATAACAGCTCGGGTCGCGAAATTTTTTTTTTTAGAGGCTATCACGGAAAATGTTGAGGGGGGGGGGGGCGGATTCCGCCCCCGGCCCTTTTAGGGTTAAAATCAAATATCCTCCAAGCAATGATGGTTAGTCTCCTCAATGATCACATCTAAAAATTATCTTCCAAGCATTGATGGTTTGTCTGTTCAATAATCTCTTCTGAAAAATATTCTCCAAGCCGTGATGTTTTTTATTTCAATAAGCCCTTCTAAATAAAAATATCCTCCTAGCCATGATGAGAAGTCTCCTCAATTATTCCTTCTCAAAAATCTCCTCGTCTCCTCAAAATCTTCCAAGCCGTGATGGATTGTGTGTTCAATAATCTCTTCTAAAAATATCCTCCTAGCCATGATGGTTTGTCTCCTCAGTTATCCCTTCTAAAAATATCCTCCTAGCCATGATGGTTAGTCTCCTCAATTATCCCTTCTAAAAATATCCTCCTAGCCGTTATGATTAGTATCCTCAATTATCCCTTCTCAAAAAATATCTTCCAAGCCGTGATGGATAGTGTGTTCAATAATCTCTTCTGAAACATATCCTCCAAGCCATGATGATAAGTCTCCTCAATTATACCTTCAAAAACTATCCTCCGAGCCATGATGGTTTTCATTCAATAATCCCTCTGAAAAATATCCCCCTAACCGTGATGAATAGCCTCCTTAATTATCCCTTTTAAAAAAATATCCTCCAAGCATTGATAGTTAGTCTCCTCCATTATCCCTTCAAAAATATCTTCCGAGCCGTGATGATAAGTCTCCTCATTTATCCCTTCAAAAGAATATCCTCCGAGCCATGATGGTTTTCATTCATTAATCCCTCTGAAAATATCCTCCTAACCGTAATTATAAGTCTCCTCAATTATCCCTTCTAAAAAAATATCCTCCAAGCAATGATAGTTAGTCTGCCCCCATTATCCCTTCAAAAATATCTTCCTAGCCGTGATGATTAATCTCCTCAATTATCCCTTTAAAAAAATATCCCCCTAGTCATGATGGTTAGTCTCCTCATTTAGCCCTTCTAAAAAATATCCTCCAGGCCATGATGGTTAGTCTCCTCAATTATCACTTTTAAAAAATATCCTCCTATCCATGATGGTTAGTCTCCTCAATGATCACATCTAAAACATATCTTCCAAGCCGTGATGGATAAATTGTGTGTTCAATAATCTCTTCTACAAAAATATCCTCCAAGCCATGATAGTTTTTATTTTAATAATCCCCTCTAAAAAAAAACCTTCTAGCCGTGATGATTAGTCTCCTCAATTATCCCTTCTAAAAATATCCTCCAAGCCATGATGATTAGTCTCCTCAATTATCCCTTCAAAAAATATCCTCCGAACCATGATGGTTTTCATTAAATAATCCCTTCTAAAAATATCCTCCTAACCGTTATGATAAGTTTCCTCAATTATCCCTTCTCAAATATCCTCCTAGCCATGATGGTTAGTCTCCTCAATTGTCCTTTCTAAAAAAAAATAGCCTCCTAGCCGTGATGATTAGTCTCCTCGATAATCCCTTCTTAAAATATCCTCCTGGCCAGATGGTTAGACTCCTCAATTATCCCTTCTCAAAAATACCTCCTTGTCATGAGTGTTTGTCTCCTCAATTATCTCCTCAAAAATATCCTCCAAGACGTGATGGCTAGTCTCCTTAATTATCCCTTTTGAAAATATCCTCCTGGCCATGATGATTAGTCGCCTCAATTATCCCTTCTAAAACAAAATGCTCTCTGATGAATATTTTGAGTTTCTGAGACACATTCGATTGACACTTGACAAACAGATGGTATGTCTGGGAACAAAAGCTTTTGCCTGAGGCAATGTCCACAACATTACAAAAAGTGGGAACGCCACCATTTCTTTGTAAAATTATAATTCGAAGTAAATTTGACCGTGATGAATCGTTTGAAATAACCGATGACGTCATGATGCCGTCACAACTTTTTCCTTAATATTTTGGACCAGGGTTCAAGTTCATCTTTTTTCCTTGATCCGTTTCGAAGGAATTAGATTTGTTTTTAATTAAAGGGTAATTGTTTGCATAAATCTTTAATTTAACCGGGATAACCCCGGAAGGAAAGGTCAGACGATTTTGTTTTCGAAAATCAGAAATGTTTATCAAGGTATAATCTATCAGATTATAAAGTGTAAACATGATTGTTCTTTTTGTCAATAAGCTTGTGGCATTGAAATCGTTTGTAATTTGATACCTGATGGCGTCATTATGACGTCAGAGTTATATACTCACTTCGGAATCAGGGTTGGTGTTTGTTCAAGGTTTCCAGTTTATACCATGTACCGTTGAGAAAAAAAAATCGTACAGAATTATTGCCTGGAATAAAAAAAGAAGGAAGAAAAAAAAGGAAAGAAAGGGATAAAATAATTCTTACCATTTCAAAACCGTGATCGGGTCGTACACGATCACACAAACATATCAGGTTTTTGTTGTTCGGAATGAGGAATTCCTGTCTGACAATATCCGCTACTACTTCCATTTTGGACTCTCAAAACGAAATTGTCGAAATAATGACTGTTTTCTTTACTTCTTCGCAAACTCATTTGGATTCTTGTCGCTATGGATAGCGAACTAAATCTTTGGAATATGTTATTGTCAACAACACGGTTGTACAGGTTCGACTGGTTTTGATCACATTTTGGCTGCATTTTATTTCAAGGGTACATTACATCAGGTTCCCTGCTGTGATTCAGAACAGTTGAAATTGATCGTGATTCGTACTTATTCCAAATACTTTACGCACTTGTGATTTACATCAGGTTCCCTGCTGCGATGTTACTTTATTATTTTAATTGTCAAACATGAAATCCTGGTTCGATGTACTCACACTTTTTCCGGCAATGAGAGTCTTTTGGACATTTTTTGACATGAGATCGATTAATTAAAGCAGAATATGTATGCTCCTTGTGACTCCTGCAACTTCAAATTCGAGCAATGTTGAACAATTAAGAGGAACATAGGATCTTTTGCCCTTGGTGTTTTTTTTTGTTAAAAGCAACAAAATTGATCAAAATCTGAAGTATAGGGTGTATATCTAGTAACCTGTTGCAATTTCAGCGCATTCTATACTTTTGAGAAAAGAGAAAACGCAGTTTCGAAGGTTTGCGGAAATGTAATCGGGAAAAATGGACCGCTCGACTAAACTAAATAAAACTAAATGCTGGGGGAACTCACTTAAGAAAACCTAATTAATCTAATGATCGAATAGGGTAAAGACGCGAGGAAATGCAAGAAGTGGGACAGTGACTCAAAATGTAGGTTTCCTCAATAAACAAAAATAAGAAAAATAACTTTATTGATACTAAAGCAATGACCAAAAGCCAAACCAGTGTAACCTTAACCAAGACCAACACACAGTAAAACTATTAAACGAAACCCAGAATTGAAACAATTAAAAACACAGTGCCAAAGAAAGTTACAGATTAAAATCAAAATGGCTTTCAAACCTGTTAAATAAAACAACAAAAAATACAATCGATTAAAATATACTTCTTCAATCAAATTTAAGAAACACAAAGTCTTAAACATTGAATCCAAACTAAGTTTATAACAAAAGATACTTCCAAGTCCGATCTTTAAAATACAACTTTAGAAATGAAATTCCAAAGAAATAAAGGAATAATATGATTGTAAACAACTGATTCTTCTCAGAACCACACAACTCAAAATTATTCACATGGTGTTACCGCAAACCTTATATTCTTTTTTACATGTTTACCATGCAAACATACAAGTCTCATTTAAGAGTAAACGTATGCACAACTGGATGCCGTTGCTTACACACGCAAAAGAGTGTGCCAGCCGGCACACTATTTTAAAAACAGCAAAGCCTTCATTTTACTTATTTCATTTTACGCTTAATCAGGCGGAATAATTTTACAGGTTGTTTGAAACCAGTTCTATTGTGAAGTACACTTCCTGTACATTTGCAAGTGATCTTAACTAATTTTAACTTGTTTTTGTTTAGATGTTTCTCAAAAAAAAAAACCACCGCCCGTACGTGAGTCTAGTCAGGGCCGTTGATGAACGAATTCCTACCGGAATAAATAATCAATCCAAATCACATTTCACCCGACAGAGATTTTTTGCGGCGTTTTACTGATACAATTCAGCTATGCCTCCCCCACCACCCCCCAAGTTATCTCCCATCT